TCATCGTAGTATGCTTTTGTCACGTGGCCGGGCTTTAGTTTTTAATCTGTCTGAAGATTGCTCAACAATGTTATTGCGTTTTATTCACCCAACTTTGTATGTGACTATTCTGCTAAAAGCATTCTTACGATTTCCAACACCTGAGTGCATTAAGAAACGCGAGAAAATATTTGGATACATATGTTTAGTATTAGGGCCTCATCGAGGACTCAAAAACTGTACTTGACCGATAACCTACCATTATTCAGGTAAGCAACACATCCACATGTGATTGAGAACCACTTTAGAGACAAGACATTCGTTAAGCGACAAAATTGAATACAGAAGGGGATGAGAGCAATATATCATTAAAAGTGCATTTACCGAGGATGTTTGAGGAGGAACCATACAATCCTCAGGGTGATAATGTACATTTGCACTATACAATGACAACCGTATTGGCCTTACAATGATGGCTACTGGAGTTGATACGAAAAATGTGATTTTACTCAATCAGGATGATCTTTCTTGCTGCACTGCCAGACTACAAGGGTACAGGAAATACTAATGGAGGTAGTGCGTATTAACTTCGTAAAGGGCTTGAATAAATAAGATTTACTGGAAAGTACCAGGGCCGAAGTGAGAACTATCGTGAAATATATAAATGATGGATTCCTCCGAAGTAAAGCCCAAAGATCTGAACAATTGAAACATGATGACTTATAATCCGAAAAAACTACTGAAACGAATCATTTACGATATAGACAGAAGGTTTATCTGTTATTTCGACCCAGGCAATCATTATTTTTCCTTAGTAAGAGGGACTTTACTCGTTTCTAAATCTCCAGCAGTCAATGTGAATATTGCTTTCTTACAGATAACAGCGATTCTCATTTGCGACCACCTCCATGTCTGCTGATAAACGCGCGCCAGCCTCTCTACTATTTTAATGTTTAGTTCCGAGATTTTTTCCTGCTTTTACTTAGTAGTGCTGTCGCATTGCTTCACCCCTGTCTCAGTATCACATAATACAGCACGTTGCTAGCCTAATAAATATGCGTTTATCAAACCCCTGTAAAAATATAGGTCGAATAAAAATGACGGCCTCTGCCATCAACCTAATCAAAACAAATCTACGTTATTCTGTAGCTAATCTAGTGTCAAAATTTCCTACAAGAGAGCAACTTAATAGTCATGAATGGAAGGGTATAGATAAATCTGATGACTAAGAGACGTTATACTACATGCGATCATGCTGAATCGAAATTGGGCCTGACCATTGGACTAAAATACTCTAAGCAATATTTTCATTCCCAACTCTGCCGGATCTCTACAAATGTTGCACCTATTCTGGATAAACTGCCAATGCTCATAGCACTCATACTCGCGAAAATCACCCGTATTATACTAGACAAACATATGCACGGAGGGGGAAACAATTTCAGCGGAAGGAGGATGCCTTATCTAATCCCTGAAAACACTGTTATGATTAAAAAATGGAAATACGCAAGTCGCATGACACCTTGTGGATCCACATGCATCTTCGTAATGCTACGATACTGACTGGGTGCATTTACAGGACATCTGGCACCTTCATTGGCTACAAGGCCCAACTTTCTATTGCACAAATAATCCATGTATGTGCATTAACGAAAACGAAACAAGCAGATCTGCGAGAAAGCTCTTATTCATTTTTTCTAGCTGTACAGTCACATTAACGTATACATTTTTCATGTAAAAGTGTAGTCACAAAAGTGATGAGTTATCATATAGTTAATGTCAGTCAATGCTTAAGATAAATTGAACAAGTGCATTAGAGTTACATAATGCGATGAATAATTCACTGAAGGAGCTGTAGTTAGGATGCACATAAAAACGAAGGAAAATGTTGAATCACGTAAGAGTTTAAAAGAAACCCAAGAGGTATACGGAGTTAAGATGCAGACAGACAAAATGAAGTTAGCCCGAAACAACAAGGTCGTTACCATGACGGCAGAATGGTTGGGATAATTTTCTTTTGCGTGCCGAGATCCGTTTTTCTAATTTGAATGGCTAGAGCTCCATCAGTGTGAAGGAAACGAGATCGTATTATCTCTGACAGGTTATTCCTCATTCGCAAATGTGGAGACAGGGTTATAGGATTTGGTCAATATTCCCAGATATTCAGTTTAGTCCATTCTGGAGGCTAGGGTGTTCCTGAGATCAGTGAAGTTCACCAGACCTCTCAAATCATCTGCATCCACCTTCGGCGCCCACCCTGTGGTCCTAACTCAAACATCCATCGTCCAAGTCACTCACTCAGTGCCAATCAACGCCCAAAAGCCTGAAATGATTCAGGCTTCCAGCTAAACAGCAAGCCATTTACTTAGCTGCTGCCGGGCGGGAGAAGAGAATAGACAGTGCATTTCCATGCTGACCTCAAGTACTTCACCGTTTCCACAGGTGGTGGAATTGTGGCCGTTGACCAATTTGGAAATATTGCATTGGGAACTGGTCAACAAAAAACAGCATCAATATTTTACTGATCCTAATTACCAACTAAGTGACATATCCTGACGAATGTTTGAACATACATCATTACTCAAAATATACTTTGAGGCTCATGTCGTTGTGTCCTCGCTGGTGTGGGCTGGGGAAACCGGTAGCTGTCATGTAATGTTGTTGGCGTAGTCAAACAGTAGTCTCGATCAGCATGTCTGTGTCCAACGTCGGTGTCTCCATCCTATCCTATTTAAGTCTTGACGCAATGTGAAGCACAACAGTAGATTACTTTGAAGGAGAAATTTGTTGAAGCAGAGTGACCAACGTTGACAAAATGTTCAGTTATCACAACTTTTATACAGTCACTACTACCTTTCTACAACCATGAGGGATGGTTTTCTTGAACCCTCTTAGACAGGATACGTGTCTAATGATCAGCACAGGTTTAAGTGGTATGGTTATGCACACAGAAGTAGTCAGATGAGAGATCCTTTCCTTTAGGTTTTCGCAGACCAGCAGACGGCGAGAGAACACAACTCCCAGCGTTGCTGAGCAGAGAGCTCTTCCTGAAGGTGATGAAAGTTTTCTGCTAAGGATATCGCAGGCGAAGTCTCCTTTAGAATTCAGATTCATGTAAAGTTTCTATTTCGGCCTGAGTAATCTTTAATTTCTGAGAACTTTTGGTTGGAAATTTTTGTCAGTTAATCTCAGTGGAGGCGTGCAGTTGAAGCCCTATGTTCTACTAGGAACCCAAGGGAACAATAATAATAAGCAATCTCAGTGTGCATGCATTTGGATTGAAGAATTCTTCCAGAGGGCGTTTAAATGTCTCCATATGCCAGCTTCACAGCTTCCCCGAGGAAATAAGCACCTGCAACACTCCCTATACAAACCGTTACATTCTAATGACTACACAAACAACGAAGATGAGCCACCTGTTTCAAGAACGCATCACATATTAAGGCCACTAAGTGTATACACGATGCATATATCTACATTTCTGAAACCAAGTTAACGACACCTTTACTGCTAAGGAGACTAAATACACAGACATACGAAGTCACCCAGCATATCAGCCCAGCTTTCCTGGGTGAAAATGTAAGGCCAATACAAACGTACATACATGAATTCACACATACATATCAAAGTCTTATTTGAGTGACTGACCACATGTTTTGTTTCTTTCAAGTGCAAAGCAAAACCGAAAATAAAATTATTAGATAAACAGTTATACATAAACACTATTTCAGTCACATCAATCCTTTCACTAAATCACATCCACACTTATTATAATTAAATAAGTTGCACTGTGGAGCGTATTATTTATTTTATTTTATTCTTTTACGTTCCCAATGAAACATAGGTCTTCAGGATAGAGCTCTAGACTTTCAGTATGAGTAGCTTCATTTTTACAGAGTGAGTTAGCTGGCTCAGAGCCAAACCTTCCCTTTTTAACAGCCTTGCTAGCAGCTTATCCAGATTTAAGAGTGAGTCTGTATTTACTACTGAAGCTGCCGAATAACGAGGTAATGGAGCATTTAGTAGGACTGTCTAAACGTAGCTTTATAACAACTCAACCATTGTGTTACTGTAAATGACGATTTCGAGAGTATATGCCTGAAGCAGCACAGATGGAAGAGCAGAATGGCTTCGAAGCCACCAGGGATATATGTTCGCTTTAACAGATCTAATATCCAATATCGTTTTTACGAGCTAGTATAAACCAATTTGATTTCTTTGTGCTCGCCTCTTGATTGTGAAGTATAGGTTCCTGATCTTCGGTAAACTTCTGCGTAGCTCGTTCCGCCACTTGACTGTCGTAGCTTTGGTTGACTCCAAAAGGAGTAATGCTGGGATTAATTATATGTGGTTTGTAGTATGAGGTGTGTTAAGACTGTTACTACGAAATAGACTTATTAGAAAGGGTGCAAAGAGTAGGAACTAAGCTAATAAAAGGTTTCTCAACCCTCTCATATGAAGAGAGGTTAAGTCGACTGGGTTTATTTCCACTGTCATACAGACGACTTAGGGGTGACCTAATACTAGCATACCGTATCCTAAGAAATGATTTTGGAGCAAATTTATCTAATTTATTTCTTCCTTCTAGCACCAACCAATTGCGAGGACATCACCTCAAGGTTCAAAAACCACGGTCGAATCGTCTGCGTTTGGAGATCCGTTTTTCGCATCGGATTGTGAACCATTGGAACTCCTTACCGGAACACGTCGTATCAGCGCCATCCGTTGATTCATTCAAGGCGAGATTGGACCTCCTGTGTGTAACAAATCGAAAGGATTAACACAGGCATATAGCCTACTATCCTAAATAAATTGTAAACTGTAAACTGTAAACTGAATGGAGTTGATCCTTTCACCAGTTAGTCCTCCGGTATCGTCGTCGAAAGAAGAGATAGTAATAATAATATATCATCCAAAGTATGATCCGGAAGTACATTTACCTTATGTTTATTCAATAGGGATTTAAACACTCAAGGACAAGGTGTAGGTGGTTGTTTTAGTTCATTCACGATCAGCTGACTATGGCGTCATCTCTGAACATTGTGAAAGCCGACTCTGTTTTGCGGCTCAGTAAGTCTTTTGAATAGTATGTGACTTAAATCTAAATAAGGCACTATTCTGAGACGTTGGAAACCTGCTTGGCTAGTTCTGTATGCAAATGGTGAGCTCCGATATTACGAAAGTAAGGATGATTATATACCCAAAGCAACCATCAACGTTCCACGAGTGTGTCGAGAAGTTATTTCTAGTCATGTAAGTATTTAATGGTAAACATGACTGCTCTGTTTAGAATTCATTTTCTTACTGTTGCATATCAGCTCCCTTAAAAATATCTTATAAGTGATTATAACCACAGTCATTTTCAGTGTCCTTGAGTACATATATCTATATATATACTTGTGAAGTTCATAAAGATGATCCAGAGATTTTATGTGAAACATATCAGTCTACACAAAATTAAAAGTGGGCTAAAATTCCACTACACGGCTGAGCGCAAAAAGAACCATTTGTGTCTTTGGAATAAACTCATCTTCAGGATTAAGTTGAAGGTGATAAATTATGTAAAAAGGATTTCATTGGTTTTTTTGACCAATGATTTGCTTGGCAGTTCTCTTAAAGAGTCACTTAGACTGCAGAGGATTGCAAATTTTCACTTACTTGAAAACCAATTTATGTGAATTAGTGTGTAAAACTTGGGCACTGTGGTAGTATATAATTCGCAAAATGGATAGCAGAACTTTTTTGAATTCCATATTAATTTGTTTATTGGACATATCATAGTGGAACAGTATTATTCACTGGATGACGAGGTTTTGAACACAATTTTTTGTCATATAAAAGAAAAGACATCAAGCGAAGTGTTACTCTTTTTGATGATACAATTCTCAAACTGTACAATCGTATATATAAATATATGTATAGTTAATTTTCTTAGCATCAAAATGAATATTTCAAAATTTGTCGTTAGAATTGTAAGTTTTAGTCAACAGATTAAGTAATGTAGAAAGCGTTAATCGGGTAGAAACTGAAATAGAGTTATTAGAACAGTAAGTTTTAGATAACAAATTTCGTTGATTCGTTAGAAAATAAAGTAGGATTAAATAAGCTAGTTGAGTGACGCAATCTGATTGACGGGGTTGAGTAGAGCTCAGCTAAAATTGAACAAAATTCCAGCTAACGGTGGTAATACGGGGTGGGGGAAAATATTATACAATTAAGAAACAAACAAGTAAGAAAAAGACGAAACAGAATTACGTATATGGTGTTAAGATAGGTTGGGTCCTCTGTAGATTTAATGACTGAACAAATTTCTTCTGTGTGTAGAGCTCAGGATTTAATGTGTGAGTTGCCATTGATTCTGCAGTTTGAAGAAGTTTGATACTCACTCTTTTAGCCAGATTCCCACGTATTCTGTAGATGACTTTGAAGTTGCTTCGTGGGTGAACTTGGTGCTCCGATTCGACTAGCTGTTCCAGAATAGAGCTTCGGGGGACATTCCTTCTTCTCCATGAAACCACGTTTGGATAGCAAACGCCTGGTACGACCGACATACCTAGCTGTACACGAGCAGGTGAATTGGTAGATGCACATTTATTGTTCATAATCATATCAATGATAACCACACCATTTCGAAATTTTTATTTTATAGTTTTCTTTATTTCCTAGTCATCGTCGTAGTGTTTTCCAGATGTCTGTGACAGGCGTTGAATCATTCCTGTTACACGTGTTTGCAGTCGGTTCGATAAACAAAGCCTCCGTTATCAATCTCTCCCTCCCTGTCATTCTATCCCATCCTATTGTATGGTTGTGTGTAACTGCATTTGCTATAGATGAACTATTCCCCAGATTTCTTATCCTATTAGGGTTAGCTAATCTAGATTCTGCTAGATTTTTGTGCTCTGCTAGTCTGACTGACGTCGTTCTACTGCTTTGACCTATGTATTTGACCTGACAATCACTGCAGGCAGAGTATTAGATAAACTAAATTGTTTTGTTTAACTGGCTCCACAGGACTCTTTAACTGACAAAGGTTGTTTCTAATTGAGTTGCGTTTGTGGGCTTGAATGTCACCTTTTATTATAGCTTGATTCCACACCGTTTTTTGCTACAAGTCTGGAATTTTCAGCATGTGATATCTGTAGCCCAATTTTGCAGACCAACCATTGATATCGGGTGTGTGTCGGCATGGTATCGAACCCCAGACTATGTGCATGGTCGGCGAGAGTCCTGACCACTATGCCACCGACGCACACACGTGTTAAGAATTCTCCGATGTAAGGTTTCCGAGGTTCCTTCTTTGTATGGTAGTACTACTGATGATTTATATTCCCTATTATTGGTGTTGTCAATATCCTGTGCATGTTTGTCATGCATGTCGTCATTAATAATATTATTATCACCATCATTACTATTATTATTTATTTTATTTTTACATTTCCTTACATATTTCCTAATTAGTTTATCAGGGTATTTGTTAAGTCCCAAAACTTCTCTTATGTGTCCTGATACACTACCCTAATAAATGTAAAAATAAAACTAATAATGATAGTGATGGTGATAACATTATTAATGACGACATGCATGTCACACATACACAGGATAATGAAAACACTAATAACAAGGAATGTGAATCATCAGTAGTACTTCCATACAAAGAAGGAACCTCGGAAACCTTATGACGGAGAATTTTTAACAATACAGGAATAAAAGTGGCATTCAAACCCATAAATTCAGAAGAGAAATACAATAAATTGTGTACGAAACGTCATCTAGTGACTAATATTGTTTCACTATATCATATATCTAATAAATAAATATAGAATTTATGTGAATGGTTTGGATGTTCAGACAGGATTTATACGTATATGTTTTGTATAAAATCATCTTACAATATATCCAACACAGGAAGCCTACCTAATTGTCGGTTACGCTACGTTGTGTAAAATGAGTTCACTATGATCAGGTACGTTATGTCACTTGATATCAAAAATTGGTTATGATCATAGTGGTCACTTATATCCAGAAAATAGACGAATGTTCACCTACTTATTGAAAACGCATGGTGTTAAAGAAGCTGATTCTCTTGAGTTCTATTATTAATTCGGTATAAAATTGGCGATATTGTTGATTGTGTAAATTGTAAGTTATGTTAAGCACATTTTCAACCTTAAAACAGTATGTTTCGAAGAAATGTTCAAATGCAGCTACACATTTTATTGTGAAATCTTCGATAATATAGCTGAAACCGACCAATTATGTCCACCTTCTATTATCATTGTAATTTTGAAAATCCTTGTTAATAATTTAGTTATCCTCATCTATCGTAGCTCATTTTAATTATGGTATGATTCTATTTGGATTTGCTTTCTAATTTAGCAGCGTCGTATTTGAACCTAGTTTATTTCTATATCAGATTCTGTGGTGTTCCTGCACGACATTATAAGGCGTTATACACACTAAAAATTGTAATTTATTCTAGATGATAAGTGATCCCATAGTGGTGAAATGAGATTTCAGAAGCTGGTCGACAGAAAGCCATGAATCTATGTCCCCATGCTTTCTTGGACTAATAAATGAAGCATATCTGCAGTCTCACGGTGGTCAATAGATACAGTCATTCCAATGTGTAGGCGCTAATTCAAGCGTTTTATACTGTTCAATTCTGTCTGAGTGGTTTGACGAGATCAATTAAAAGATATACGAATTATCGAAATTTGCGGAGTACTTTAAGAGAGTTGTATGTTTAAGGTCTTATTTCACGCAGTGACACTGTCTAGATTAACCAAGTTGCCTGAGGTAGTTCCGCCAGACCACCGTTGATCATTTATCATCTTGGTTTATAAGCAAGACTATAAATCTCCCTGCAATATCACAAAGTGCTCGTTTCACCTAATATATCAAAGGTTCTGGTGGACGTAATCATATGAAGTCTAGGTGGAGCTTGGCAGCAGTCAAGAAGGGGAAATCAAAAGCCCTCACAAATGGATATATTGATTTCATTCTTTTATCTTTTTGATCATACTCAAATAAGTTAATGTTCGTAACTTTCAATTTATAAATTCCTTTTTGACAGAGAAGTATTGAACCACCTAAGGATCGTTCAAATGATTGTATTTTTGGTCTTAAAACAAATGAATCTGATTGGTATTTTTGTGCTGAGTCACCTGATGATGCAACAGTATGGCGAATCGCTTTGTCTGAAGTGAAAGGATTAACTTTACCTCGTTACCGTGTTCGTATGCCACCTCCAGATGCTCCACCACCAGGATATACAGATGGTGAGAATTACTATCAATATGGTTGCCCTGCCGAAACGACAGTTCCTCTTTATCAAGCTTCTGGAAGAAGGCAGAATGTGCCAGTATGTTAAAAAAATTTGATTTTTGTGAATTCTTTCCTCAAACTACATGGCATATTATTACTAATATTATTATTATATAATTGTCCCCTTGGGATCCTAGTGAAACAGGGTTTCAGCAGCACATCCCTACTTTGCCCTATTTTCCTACGGTCTTTAGCGGCCCCACGATTACTCATAGTTTCTCCTCTCCTCCTCTCACGATCTCCATGTTAGCTTCGGACGTCCCAATAGTCGTTTCCCATTCGTGTTTCACTCGGACAATAACCTGGCGCTCAATGTCATTCGACGGCGTCCGATCCATCTCCATTTTCTCGTACGTATTTGTTGAGCAATAGGTTCTTGGCTGGTTGTTCACTGAGTGCCTTGTTGGTAATTCCTTCTGGTAATTTGGTCTTCAGTATGAAGCGAAGGTAATGTGTAACATATTCTCCTCACGTATGGGTTCCACATAGAGGTCGGGCTTGTAAACTGAACCAACCAACAGGGAATGCTCGAGTAACTAATTCATTTCCTTAATAAATTGGAGGAGTTAGGCATGTGGGAATAGATGAAAGGAGTTGATTGCATTCTATTGCCAGTTGTTCAGACTTTAATATAAGTGACAGTACAAATTCATCTTCATACTTCTATCACGATGCGGAGTAAAAATATTATAGTAGTATCTTCTTTTAATCTGATCAATATAAAGTTAACTTCAGTGATTTGGTAGGGTCTGAATAGATCACCTTTTTAACTAATACAGCATGATTAATTTGGGATACAGAATTATCGGGACGTAGTTTTGAGTCGGTTGTCGAAATAAATTTCAGATGAAAGGTAATCGAAGTCGAATGGTACTATAGTAGAAAAACTTAATAACTGTATGTATAATGGAATGAAGGATAACGGGAGT